CCCCCCCAAATGCATAATAATGACAAAATCAAAAGATGAACATTTGTTTAAGGAATTAATCGAGAAATTCTGCACTTGGAGTGAAAAATTCCTGAATCAAGTAAACACCTGATTCCAGAATTGATTTCCTCTGTGTGACTGTGATTTTATGTTCGATTTTTCAATCGAAGTTTTGATTCACTCGATGAACTAGTCTCGTCGACGATTTGAATTGAATAATAAGAAGTTCGTGCGTAACACCTCGTTTCCACAATGTACATAATAGTTAATATTACCAACTAATTAATGATGATTAATCCTCACATACTGTCGATTACTGTAATATATTATGTGAAGCGTTCAAGATTTTGAAAGAAAAAAAAACATTTGAAAAAATAAAAAAAAAGTATAACAATATATAGACGGGGGAGAGACAATGAGGAAGTTTTTCGTAGAGGCGTTTCTCCTTATATACTGCCACACCACAGTGGAATTATAGATACGTGAATGATACATGTAAAAATAATGGTAATAGCTGTTTTGGTACAGTATAATATTTTTACAAATTGTAATGAATTAAGCTGAATTAGTTCGAGAGAGGGATGAGAGAAAAAAGATGACGAAGAGAAAGAAATAAATATTAAAAACAATACAGAATTTTAATTGGATGATGTTGCAGTTATTCCTGGATAGAACTTCATTGAGATTTTTTTTATTTAAGAAGTAGAGAACCATTTACCATTCATAGACCCATTCCCTGAATTATTCAAGAGTTCATTCTCCCCTCAGAGAAATGTTGGATAAAAATTTTCTTTAAATTATTCAATGCATTAAAATATTTTAGTCTTCATCCAATCACAGTTGCAGGTTAATATATATTGATTTGTATCTTTACCTTACAATATGATTACCATTAATGAGTTTAAAGAGGTGAGGCTCCGTATATAATGAGATGACTAATCAATTAACCAATTAAAACTTGTTTCATATTTCTACGATTTTTTTTTATCGAAGTTACGTGTTTACCCTCAGGCGTCTCTACTTCGGAAACGGACAGTAGTCGGATATTTCCAGAACTTTGTCGATAATTCTAGCATTTTCTAACAGATGGTGGAATGTTCCTCGGAGAAAACCCATTGATTTGCCTAGTGATTGACATTTCGGAAATTTCCAGAACTTTCAGTACTACTTGAGAATTTCCTGAATCAGTCATTAGATAAATCATTACTTTCGTTATGACAATTTCCTTACCTATCTTCAACATCTAAAACCGCTCTTTGACTAAAAAGTGAGAGCATATTCATCAGTTTACAGATTCTACAAAATTCAAGAAAATTTGATGGAGTTTTTTTCAATTTGAGAAAATTCTCCCCATTCCAGGAAATTCGACACTTTCTGAAAAATTGAATGGAATTCGTGAATTTTCTGAAACATTCCACAAAATTCGGGGATGAAAATTTTCTTTAAATTATTCTCCAAATTAAAATATTTTAGTCTTCATCTAAACACAATCACAGTTTCATCTCCTCCCTGAAGTTTCCTCGAATAAACATCCCGAGGACTATGATATAAAAATCGTCCTCAGAATTATAAAAAAATGTTCCTCTCTGAACTTCCCCATAAGGCCTGCAAAATTCAAGCAAAATTGAAATAGCAGGGCTATAATCAAACAGTTCGCGAAATGCGAATGTTTTGAAATTAGATTCCCCAGTCAGTACTTTATGAATTTTTTTTTCATTCAAGAAGTAGAGAACCATTTACCATTTGGAAAGCTCATCCCCCGAAAAATGTTAGATGAAAATTCCCTCCTTTAAATTATTCCCCAAATTAAAATATTTAGTCTTCATCTAAACACAATCACAGTTTCATCTCCTCCCTGAAGTTTCCTCAAATAAACATCCCGAGGACTATGATATAAAAATCGTCCTCCGAATTATAAAAAAATGTTCCTCTCTGAAGTTCCCCGGAAGGCCTGCAAAATTCAAGCAAAATTGAAATAGCAGGGGTAGAATCAAACAGTTCGCGAAACTAAAACGTTTTGAAATTAATTCCCCCCAGCCAGTACCCACTGAAACTGAACTGCAACTCACCGTACTTCAACCTGTCTTGGAGGCTTGACGCCAAAGGCTACTCCACGTGTCGGTGGATGTATTGAGGATAGACCCGAGGACCTACGGCGCGTTGGAGATGCCGTGGGGCAATTCAGAAATGGAATATAATCAGCTAGGCGCTTCGCTCGGTGGGTTTTCCGAGGGATGACAGCCAGAGGCAGTGTTAACCCCCTCCGGGGATAAGCGCGGATATTGAGTTCACCCGTAACCATAGTAACTCAGCCACAGGCACTAACGTTTGTTCGCTTTATCCCTTACTGCCGCGGTTACTGGTTATTCCGGGCGCACTCAGAAACACCGCACCAAATCCCCACCTGTCATTTCCTTAATTGGGTCAGTCAAAATACCCAACATGATCGAAAAAATTTTCCCCGGTGGAGCTTTAACGATCGAAAAAACCGAGGATAATCGACATATTTCAATGGAAGTTATGAATTTTTATTCTTAATTCACACATTTTCGTGGATGTGAGCAGAAATCGATTGCTCACCAAAAAATGGGTTTGCGAGGGATGAAAAAATTTCGATTCACAGGAAGAAAATTCGACAAAAGTGATTTTTTTTTAGAACCTCAATCTGAGTGACATTGGAATTTTTCAAATGTGACTCACGTAATATTAATTCGCACGTTTTTCGTGTAGAAATAGACATTTTACGCACGCTCCGCGTGCAAAAATCCCAGTTTCCACACATTGCGATGAAAAATAGGATTCGACACTCGTGGGAAAAGTGTTCTTTGACTCTTGGGGGGGATCAAAAAACACTTTTACGCACTCGTATCGAAATATGTTGAATGCTGATATTCAACAACGAATGGTGTGAGAGGCTATTGACACCATTTTTTTAACCCGTCAATCATTCCGTTTCAATAACAATTATTTGAATGATTTTTGAAATAATCTGTTGTCTTATTTGTGCGTGAAGTTTTACTTTTTCGCACACACGTGTAACATATCCTATTTGTTGTAATACCTTCCCATTGCACATTTCGGGGGGGGGGGATGAAATGTTCACATTCGAAATTTACTTTATGGACGATCTCTGAGCACTACTCACGTCGTGCGGAAGCCCACATAAACGAAAGCGCATTAATTCAACACCTGTTTTACATATTTCAATGAAAGTTATAAATTTTTATTCTCAATTCGTACCCAAGTACATCAATAATATACCTATGAACAGGTGATTGGCGCCGGTTTGGTGCATACATTAAACTTGATTTTTTTCTTTTAACTGATATTTACATTAATTAATCATTGACGATTTTATAAATTACATTAGGTACACTCTTAAATAACTCTTAATCAACTCTCATAATTTTGGGGGGGTGGAGACAGGCACACATTTACCCCAGCCAATCTCAAAATATTCTCACACTCTCGACAGATAATTTCAGTTATTCTGTGAAGAAGCGGCGGAATCCTCGTGAAATTATCCCGGCAATAAGTGCTTTCTGGGGAAATTATCATCACACCACTTCGAATTTTTTACGAAGTCTCTCAACTGCTTCGTAATAACAATAAAGCCGAATTAATTTCGAAATTTCTGAAGCATCATTTTACGACCGTCTCGGGAACGAAGTGTAGAAGAAATTATTTGACTTTTTCTCCATTTGAGAAACAGCCAAAAACAATATTTAAAAAAATAGAAAAATTATAAAAAAAATGATTGCATTTGTTTTTAATATTCGAAATACTTCAAGTCTTTCTACCATTTCCCCACAGAATCCTCTCGACCCTCCTTCTACGATTTTATGAAAGACATGAAACACCAGTCTTTCGAGATCTAAAAATTCCTTTCATTCACGAGGTTGTCTGTCAGGTGTTGTTCCCCTGGCGCACAAAAAGGTACTCCGAGAACTGCTGGCCTTCGACGCCTCCCCCGTTGCTAGCCACAACCCGAAAGCCAGCATTGAGGAGTCTCGTGATGGCCTGAACGGAATTTAATTTGCAGAAACCGTTCAGAGGGAATCGTATGACGTGACGTGTGTCCTGGTGGTGCCAAGCGACTCCGGAGCGTGCGTCGATGACAGCCTGTGTGGTTTCCGGGAAAACCTCGTCCAGAAGTGATCTGCCACCTGACAGCATCACACGTTCACCGAGATCTGGACTCACGTGAAGTGCTACACATTCGTATGCCTCGGCGGATTTTTTCTCATCCCGACACGCTGGACGACCTGTTTGACCCGAGGGGGGACTCGGGGGTGACATCGCACCGTTTTTCAAACGGTCTTTCTTCATTTGCTCCAGTTGTCTGCACATTGCTGTTGATGATAATGTGTTTAACGGAAATTTTTTCTCAAATTGACGGGACACCGTTGGATTACCGAAAAAATGAGTAATTCTAAGATAAAATTCATTTGTTCTAATTGTCTAAACATTGTTGTTGATTATAATGAATTCCACATTATCAATTATTTTATAATTAACAACAATCTAAAAGAGACAGCAAAATTTTAATCATGACCTTTTTTGTAGCCCGCAACGCACTCTACAAAAAATCTCATTACGAAAATTTTGTTGTTTCCCTTAGATTCGGAGATATTCCGCAAAAACTGGAGGGATAAATCCGCATAAAACGGCTTTACTACTGAATTGACTCAAATTGAATCTCCGAACTCCGCAAAATCAATAAAATCATTCACAACTTACGTCCAATATCAAAATACCGTGCCTCCTCCAGCAGCAAATCAAGATCAGCAAAATTATCCGGAATGAGTAAACGTGAATTTCTCATGAAATTGAGAATATGTCGAAACATTCCGCCATCCCGATCGATGAAGTAATGCTGCTTGAGGGAGTCGAGCATAATCGGAATACTGCCATTGAAGAGTTTAGCTAATCTCGACTCGGGGTACCTAGAAGCAAAGTAACAAATTTTCTCATTTTTTTTTCGCCCACTCTCCTCGCATTTTCATAGATGACTTTAATGGAGTTTAACGATAGGTTTTGGCGCATAACAGAACCGAACGAGTGTCTCTCCGTCGGCCTCTGGGGTAAAGAAGTCAATTGGGTGGCAGGTGAGGTGACCGTAGTATATATCGGCACCTGCTCACTCAAGAATATCCACCACAGCCAGCGGGCACCATTCCCCCCCGAGGGGAACTTAAAGTCTGCAGCTGTTGTACCTTACGACAACGACCTTCTCGTTCTCTACCTTAATTAACGCTATACCCATTTTACCCGTGGGCTAGTATCATCGCGTTCTCAAAATAGGACACGCGCGCCCCTTAGCAACGCCCATGGACATCATTTACGGCGAAAAATGAAGGAAATTTCAGTTTATTATTATTTCAAAAGTTTTTTCAATCCTCGAGGGAATTCTTTTTAACGATTTTTTGATGAATAGAGCTCCAATTTTTTTATTCCGTGAATATAAAATCAAGTGCTGCAATTTTTTAAATCGCAGGAATGAAAAAAAAATCAATTGAAATTAAAGAAATTTTACTTTATTATTATTTTAACTGTTTTTTCAATTCTTGAGGGAATTTTTTTTTTTGATGTGGAATATTTTGAATTTAAAATTAATTCTTCCAATTCTTAAAACATCAGAAATGGAGAACAAATCAATTAAAGAAGCTTTTCAATTATTTTTGTCAGCAGCATATTTTTGGATATAAAGTAAATTCGTTAAATATCGAAAACCGAACAAATCGATTAATTTCGCAACGACGTGCTCAATTAGTCCGCTAACAACTCCCTCCCGCAAACCTTTCCCCATTACCATAGAAAAAGTTCACTCCGTCTGATCATAAACATCCAGATCTACTCCCGGCAATTAATTTGAATTCTTTTTAATGATTTCTTGATGAATAAACCTCAATTTTTTTTACAACTCGAGTATAAATTTTATGTTTTCAATTCCTAAAACATGAAACTGTAAAACAGACTGACTTCCTCAACTAGTAGTTCTCTAGCAATTCCGCCCCACAAGCCATTCCCCATTACCAGAGTAAAACTGCACTTCGTCTGATCATCAACACCCATATCTACTCCCGGCAATTAATTTGAATTCTTTTTAATGATTTGTTTATGAATAAACCTACTTTTTTTTTATAACTCGAGCATCAAATTATTGTTTTCTATTCTTAAAACTTGAAACTGAAAAACTTTTTCAATTGAACGAGCTTTTCAATTATTTTCATCATCAGTATATTTTTGGACAAATTCAAATTCTTCAAATATCCCTAACAATTTTCTCCCACTACCATTCCCCATTACCAAAAAAAACTCCATTCCGTCTGATCATAAACGCCCTGATCTACTCCCGCCAATTAATTTAAATTCTTTTTAATCATTTCTTGATGGATAAATTATTTATTTTCTATTCTTTGTCTAACTCACGTATAAAATTCCTTTTTTTCAATTCTTAAAACATGAAACTGAAATACTTTTTCAATTGAACAAGCTTTTTAATTATTCTCGTCATCAGCATATTTTCGAATGTAAATTCAAATTCTCCAAATATTAAAAACCGACCAAACCAATTAATTTCGAAACGAACCAATTCCCTAACAATTCCCTCCTACAATCAAAAAACCACAAAAACGTCACCCTGTCTAATTATAAACGCCCAGATCTACTCCCCGCAATTAATTTGAATTAAAAAAAAATTATTTCTTGATTAATAAACCTCAATTTTTCTATAACTCGAGCATCAAATCATTTCAATTTTCAATTCTTAAAATCAGAATTAATCAGTTCAGTAATCGGAAATCAGTTTTAATTAAATAAGCTGCTCAATTATTTCCATCATCACCATCATCATAGTTCTTGGATGTAAATTCAAATCTTTCAAATATCTAAAACCAACTAAATCAATTAATTTCGAAACGATTGTTCAACCAATTTCCTAACAATTCCCTCCCACAACCATTCCCCACTACCAAAAAAAAAATTCGCTCCGTCCGATCATACACGCCCAGATCTACTCCCGGCAACTAATTTGAATTCTTTTGAATAATTTCTTGATTAATAAACCTCAATTTTTCTATAACCCGAGCATCAAATCATTCTTTTCAATTCTTAAAACCTGAAACTGGAAATCAGTTTTAATTAAAGAAGCTTTCCAATCATTTTCATCATCATCATCAATCTTGGATATAAATTCAAATCCTTCAAATACCGAAAACCGGCCAAATCAATTAATTTCGAAACGATTGCTCAACCAATTCCCTAACAATTCCCTCCCACAACCATTCCCCACTACCAAAAAAAAATTCGCTCCGTCCGATCATAAACGCCCAGATCTACTCCCGGCAACTAATTTGAATTCTTTTGAATAATTTGTTGATTAATAAACCTCAATTTTTCTATAACCCGAGCATCAAATCATTCTTTTCAATTCTTAAAACCTGAAACTGGAAATCAGTTTTAATTAAAGAAGCTTTCCAATCATTTTCATCATCATCATCAATCTTGGATATAAATTCAAATCCTTCAAATACCGAAAACCGGCCAAATCAATTAATTTCGAAACGATTGCTCAACCAATTCCCCAACAATTCCCTCCCACATTCCCCATTACCAAAAAAACTCCACTCCGTCTGACCATAAACGCCCAGATCTACTTCTCCGCAATTAACACCCATGACTGTGGAAAAAGCCTCTCACCTCACCTCCGCCACTCCCCCCACATTCCTCACCTCCTCCAGCCCGCAATTACCCCAGAAAAACCATTTCTCTGAAATCAATACCAACAATTACCCATTCACGCATTTCCCAACTTGCCCGTTAACCGCACTAAACATCTCTCGTCTGAAATGGGGCACATGCGCCGCCTCCAGCCGCAATTTTCCCCAAAAAAATCCCCCTCACCCCCAAACAAAAAACAATTCGGTCTGATCATAGGACGTGCACACCTACTTCCTGCGGGAAACGCGCGTCAAGCCTCAAGCGCGTCCATTTCCCCTGATTACCCCCGCCCCCTTGCCCCTCCGTAACTTTTAAAAACCACCGTAACTCTAAGATTTCCATTCAGCCATTCGTATCGCCGACGGTGATGGTCTCGAAGGTACGTACACACGCGCTCTATCATTTTCGTGAAAGCTGGCGGAACGGATGTAAATCCCCCCGGCAATGGCAAAGAGAGAACGTCCGGTTTAATCATCAGGAGTTCTAACGGAAATGAGAGATACTTTAATTCATTTTTTCAATCACTCCCTATTCCCCTGGCCCTTCATACAAATACTGAAATTTTAAATACAGGAATTAACTCATTTTTATTAATTTGATTATTGATTTGTGAATTGCTTAAGCTTCAAGAATAGACAGATTTTAATTAAATAATTGCATTAATTACGAATGTTCGTTCTCATCGTCAAGTGTCTCATTTTTTCAGCTCAACTAATCGTTTTTAGTTTTTTTCTCTTCGAAAGAACAAGTTATTAATGTATTTTGTCATTTTTGTGTGCAACTGTTCTCATTAATTGAATATAACAGTAATTTTTCAATTCTGAAAAACCCCAAAAAAGTTATAATTGGAATGGTATATATTTTCATTGATTTTTGCCATTCCCGCTGCCTCCCCCATAGTCTTTATCCGCTGCATACATCTACTGAAATTTTTAGTATACGAATGAAAGCAATTTCATTCAATAATTGCATTAATAATGAATTTTTGAATTTTTAGAGTTTTAAGAGTAATCGAATTCCAATTCAAAAGGCTTAATTACACATTCTCATTTTTATAAATCTCTCATTTGAATTCTCATGTTATTATTGTTTTAATTCAACCAATCGTTTTCATTTTTTTTCTTGCTCAAAAATAGTATATTTCGTCATTAGACCGAGGAAATCATTTCTGGTGAATACGAGTTTGCATATTCATCGTGCGAGCTAGAACAGTATTTTTAGGCCGTGTGAGGAATAGTATTTTTGCGCTGACGGCCGGAATGAAAAAAAAGTTTTCCATAATTTTTGTCATCTTTGTTTTCAACGATTTTCATTAACTGAATAAAAAATTGATTTTTAATTTCTTAAAAACGCAAAAAAATTCAAATGCAAATCAGAAGTACTTTTATTCATTTTTCTCGTTCCCTTCCCCCCCCCCCTTCCCCCCTCGTCGTTCATCCACTGCATACAAATACTAAAACTGGGGATATATCAATAAAACCATTTTCTTTCGATAATTAATTCGTCAATTCTCAAATCTTCAAAAATAAAAAAAAACATTGAAAAACATTGTATTAATTGCATAATCTCATTTGAATTCTCATGTGTGTTATTGTTTTAGTTCAAACAATTGTTTTAATTTTTTTTCTTGCTCAAAAATAATATTTTTGCGCTGACGGCCGGAATGAAAAAAAGTTTTCCACGATTTTTGTCATCTTTGCGTTCAACGATTTTCATTAACTGAATAAAAAAAAGATTTTTCAANCAAATGCAAATGAGAAGTAGTTTAATTTATTTTTCTCGTTCCCTTCCCGCCCCCCCTTCCCCCCTCGTCGTTCATCCACTGCATACAAATACTAAAACTGGGAATATATAAATAAAACCAATTTCATTCGATAATTAATTTGTCAATTCTCAAATCTTCAAAAATAAAAACAAAAAAATTTCAAAACGTTGTATTAATTGCCTAATCTCATGTGTGTTGTTATTGTTTTAGTTCAACCAATCGTTTTAATTTTTTTTCTTGCTCAAAAATAATATTTTTGCGCTGACGGCCGGAATGAAAGAAAGTTTTCCACAATTTTTGTCATCTTTGCGTTCAACGATTTCCATTAACTGAATAAAAAAATGATTTTTAAATGCTTAAAAACGCTAAAAAATTCAAATGCAAATGAGAAGTAGTTTAATTTATTTTTCTCGTTCCCTTCCCGCTCCCCCTTCCCCCCTCGTCGTTCATCCACTGCATACAAATACTAAAACTGGGGATATATCAATAAAACCATTTTCTTTCGATAATTAATTCGTCAATTCTCAAATCTTCAAAAATAAAAAAAAACATTGAAAAACATTGTATTAATTGCATAATCTCATTTGAATTCTCATGTGTGTTATTGTTTTAGTTCAAACAATTGTTTTAATTTTTTTTCTTGCTCAAAAATAATATTTTTGCGCTGACGGCCGGAATGAAAAAAAGTTTTCCACGATTTTTGTCATCTTTGCGTTCAACGATTTTCATTAACTGAATAAAAAAAAGATTTTTCAATTCTTAAAAACGCAAAAAAATTCAAATGCAAATCAGAAGTACTTTTATTCATTTTTCTCGTTCCCTTCCCGCTCCCCCTTCCGCCTCGTCCTTTATCCACTGCATACAAATACTAAAACTGTGAATATACGAAATAAACTGGAGAACTGAAAAGACTGCGGATATTCGCCCGGAGGATACCAAGGTCGCTTGTACAGTACACGATATTTTGCATATAATGGTGGATGGAACGAGCGAAGGGGGGAGGTGGAGTACGAGAGCGACGAAGCGAGTGTGCGTTATGGCACCAGGATAGATCATGGGAGCCAAAGGGAGACGGTATGAGGCGGGTGGGGAGAGGGTGTGAGAGGTACGGGGGTGGTATACCCACCTATTCGCAGCCCCGGGCGTGTTCCCATACCTTTTCACCGTGATAACGTATAATAACGACGGGCCGCGATCAAGCCCGGGGCATTTCGACTTCGCGAGGATGTACCTCGGGGTACCTCCATGAGACTCGACCTTCAAGGACTTTAATATTTTTATTCCAGGATTTGATGAGGAGGGTTGGGGCGAGGAGAGGTGGAATGAAGGGTTTTTTGATTTCCGAGGGAGTTTAATTCATTAGAAATGTCGTCTCACTTCGGATTTTGTAGGATATTTTCGTATGATGATATCCAGGGAAACACTTCAATTTAATTTAGCTCAGTTTCGTTGGTGTTGAGAGGGTTTTCTTTCTAATATTTTTATTTTAGGATTTGATGAGGAGGGTCGCGGCGAGGGGAGGTGGAATGAAGGGCTTTTTGATTTCCGAGGGATTTTAATTCATTAGAAATGTCGTCTCACTTCGGATTTTGTAGGATACTTTCGTATGATGATATCCAGGGAAACACTTCAATTTAATTTAGCTCAGTTTCGTTGGTATTGGGAGGGTTTTCTTTCTAATATTTTTATTTTAGGATTTGATGAGGAGGGTCGCGGCGAGGGGAGGTGGAATGAAGGGCTTTTTGATTTCCGAGGGATTTTAATTCATTAGAAATGTCGTCTCACTTCGGATTTTGTAGGATACTTTCGTATGATGATATCCAGGGAAACACTTCAATTTAATTTAGCTCAGTTTCGTGGGTGTTGGAAGGGTTTTCTTGGTGAAAAAAATTGCGATATGGTGAAGATTTCGTTGTAAATGTTCATGTCGATTTTTTAATAATTGAAAGGGTAATTCTATGAGGGAAATGTTGAATTTAAATGTAGTTTTTGGTCATACGAAAGACCTTTCGTAGCTTTTGACTCTTTTCAATGAAAAAGGGATTGTAAAATGTTGCTATTTTTCTTAGATATGAAGATATTGATTCATTTCTTCAAATGATGCATTATTTTCTAAGGTATCTCTTTGGGGATTCACTCTGCACTTTATAATTTCATAATTTCATCATTCAAAATTCACAATTGGATTTAAAAAATCATAGAAACTGTAAATTTTATTTTCTTTTTTTCATTATTTTATTTTATTGTTTTTTCAATAGAAATGAGGAAAATTCAGGTAAATATATTCAAGAATTTTCAGTCAATTTTAAAATTTTATTAATTGTTTCCCTTTTGAATCGAACTTAATGGCGTTTTCCTGACAATTGCAGCTAAAACGTCCATAAAATTTCCATTTTATTCTAAGAAATGCCCAAAAATAGTCACATCAACAGCATTTTTGGGTCAATTCCAAAATATAAGATTTTCTACGAATTAGTTTCATAAAGAACTAAAAAAAAACCCCACGTTTGTTCACACGGATTGCGATGCTAACCAGAGCCCCAAATAATTTTCAAATAAGAATGAGAATGCGAAAAAACCCCAGACAATGTTAAAAAGAAAAAGAACCGACAAAAACATCGATGAAAAGGGTTTAAGAGACAGAAAGTTAACGAAAGGGAGAGAGAGGGAACGTGATTACCCCGGGGCATTTGTTGGGCCCAGTGTATAAAAGACCGAGGTCCGATCCCGGGTCAGATCCGTTCGAAGCTATGGGAAAATGCTAAACGATCGGCTCACATCACTCAGAAATCCGCTCTGCTTTCGTTTTAATACGTGCATATAAAGAAAATCGGCGGTGTTCCAGGGTGGGGGTAAAATTGCTGTATCAAGGTAACAAGACGTATAAAACGCTAATAACTTTATTGTGAAATCGTGAATTGTCGTGCAGCGGTTTTTCCACCAGTTGCAGTTGGAATCGGCGGCGATCGTTGGCGAATGAATAAAATAAAATAAAATAACATAAAAGTTTATATGTATAACGGAGGCTAATGAAGGCTCTCACGAGAAAGGGGACGGGCATCTCCCTCGTACGTTAGGAACGAGTGTTGGTGGTTCTGTATGCGATAGGTGAATTGGAAGTTGCAGAAATTTAGTACGGGATATCTCGCAATCGTTCTGCATCGTTGAGGCTCGAGTGTCTCTTATGTTAACTCTAATGTATGCGAGATGAAGTTCTGCAGTCGTTATTTTATGACTCTAATAGTCGAGAATGAATAACGAAATGAGAATAACGAAACCGGGGAAACAAATCATGGAAATTAAAATTACATTAAATGGGAAAAGAGAAATTCTTCCGGAGGGAAAAAAATGAGGAATGGCTTTTTTTTTCGTGGAGGATGGGAGGTGGAATAATCGATTTGCTCGGATGATCGTTGGAAAAATTGTTATCATTTGGAGGCCATGAAGAGGGACGTTAAATGTTGATAAAAATTATAGCGACGGGTTGGACAACTTTCAGGAGATAAACAGGGTCAATGGCTCGTAATGAGGGAGGAAGACGCAATCGAGCGGAGAGAGGATTGAGGAGGTTTACCATTCGGAGTTTTTATTGTTTTTCGTATTCAGTCGCTGTTTTTAGAAATAATAGGGAAATTTTGGGTTGTTCAAGAGGCATTTCATTTGACATTGATAATGCCAAGAATTTAGTCGTTATTAATAATGAATAAAAACTTGAAATCATCAATAAATAAATTTTAAAAAATCCCTACTTTTTAATTTTTCCACTTTGCTTTCGAAAATTTAAATTTGTCATGAAAATAATCAGTGAATTAACATCACATCTAGTGCCTGATTTTTTGATTCATAAATAATATTTACGAATAATTGAAATCATCACAAAAAAAATTAAAATTGTGTTTTTTCATTTTTTTATTGGTATTTATCATGAAATGTTGAAATCATGAGTAAAGAAAGCAGTAATTCAAGTCTTTATTTCCGCAATTAAGGCATGCACTCACTTCGTTAACGTCTCCAATGAGGATGTGTAGATCGTGCCCCCGACGTCGATATGGACGGGCGCTGTGTAGCGCGAGGCAGCAGCGACGCAGGGGATTCCCGTAATTTTTTGATTGTAAGTTGGTGGCGGCTGGGTTGGGGGCGTCGGTGACGACGAGTTGGACATCGTTGGTGATGTTGCTGGCGAACTGCTTGGCGACAGCAATCTGACAGAAATACTTTCGACATTATACGAATATTAGAATCAATAGCTGATTAATGACTAATCAATCACTGAATTATCTCATTAAAATCCTACTTCCAGATAAATTCGTGGACTTTTATCGATAAATAATCGTTGCAATAAAGAGAAGTATTTATGTGTTGATACTTTTATTGCATGACGAAATAGTTCAGAATGATTCCTCCCGCCTACGTTATCGTGTAATTATCTCGTTAATTAGTGACATTATAAAAAAAATTATGAAATAATTACTTCACAGGAACTTTCTTCATTTTCAATAAAAACTATACGACATTTTCTCAAGCTGAATTAGGCTGATCAAATATTATTTGTTGAATAATAATAATAATAATTAGATGAATTGTTAATATTTGGAATAATGATGATAAATAAAATGAATAAAATAATTAGAAATGTTTACCTCATTTTAATTTGAGCGCTAGGAAACATATTGCGCTGGGCCGTCAGCTCGGCCTTTACCTCCTTCCCTTCAGCCTCACATTTCCGCCTGAAATTAAAAAATTCCTGTTTTTAACTTGAAAAACACTAATTCATCATAATGGATGAACGAACAATAGCTCTGTATTCATAGCCCCTTGAATAGTCAATGGCGTTTTAGTAATGGGAGTGTGTAAACGCTTTATACCCGTATTAATAAGGCAATTAGCGGTGGAACAATATTTAACGTGCCAGGTAGCCGAGGCTCGAGGAAATCGAGGCACTGGTCATGGGCTGGACCATTGGGGCTCAAATGGAGACGAGTTATACTCGATCTGACGTTGCTCGCTGATAAATCTGGGGGACCCACGCGGATTAAAACCGGTCGGCACGCGTGGCTGCGATGCATTTTGCCGAGCGGATAAATCGATGTCCACTTTAATCCTTTCTCTTCTTCTCATCATTCCATTTTTTTTATGGAGAGGAATTTTCGGGGGAGTCTTTTTACGTTTTCGAGATATATCGAAGGTTGCGTGTTTTTCATTACGGATATTTCTCATAATTATGGAAACCATTTTTCAAATTTCATTTTTATCCTGCAATTTTTTTATCCCGTTTTTTAAAATTAATCTTGTTTTTTGGATAGGTTTAATGCAGAATTAAACTCCTTTATTTTATTTTTTATCAACATTTTTCCGAATTTAATTATCAGTGAATCCTGGAATTTCTGCATATATTTTCTGTTCTTTTTCAATCGTCATTTCGTTTTTTGGCCATAAAGAAGAATTTTGTAAGGATTTCTTCTTTTTGAAGTTGGAAAAATTTTGTATTTTGAGTGAATCAAAAATTGAATAATTGGGAGTTAATTTTTGTTTTGCTTTGAATGTTGTTTTGATGGAAATCTAAGAATACTGTCTGCGATGTTTTTTCTCCATGAAAATTATTGAATTATTATTATTCTACAATTTTTTTATTCAATTTTTCAAAATTAATCAAGTTTTGTTATCTCGGTTTAATGCAGGATTTCACAATTAAATTTCTTTGTTTATTTTTCATTCAACTGTTTTCCTGAATGAAATTTTCATTTTAATTTTGCAATTTCCATTCATAAAGAAGAATTTTCTGTTTTGAGTGAAGTAAAAATGGCAGTTAATTTTTGTTTCCTTGAAATGTTGAAATTTATTTTTTTGCGTATTTGGTATTGATGGGAATTTGAGTTCTTTCCGACATGTTTTTTCTCCATAAAAATTATTTAATGTTGGAATTTTTCCTCACCTCCTTGTTCGGATTTAACGGTAATTTCGCCTGCATTATAAACCGCATTTTTTTTTTTTAATCATTTCGGTTCGTGTTAACATCGATATACGCTTTCAGCTCGAATATATGAAGACGTGGTATAGCCAGCGGATTTACGATTTGAGCGACTTTTATTTACTGCCCTAAGTCGTGAATGGTGATGGAGAACGTTCGTCCGCCCACGATGAACACGATCTCTCATGCGGCATGCAAGTATAAACCCCCATTGGCGTAACCACAAGGATTGAATTTTTACCATGGCAAAAAAAATGTGAATTAAAAACGCACGAGTGAAAATCATTTCCACTTCGCCAACCGCAAAAAAACAAATTAAGAATTTCCTCGGTTAATTGGAAAAAATAAAATAAATTGTGTTGAAATGGTCGAGCGAGTGTGATGACATTTCCAATACATTTGTCGGTTGAATAAATTAAAAACAAAGGATATTTATAGACCTATTGAATAAACATCATAAATTATTTTCCGCCATTAGCGAAATGCCCCCGAAAACAATAAACGTGGACATAACTCGCTGACATCAACGAATCATAAAAAATTATAATTGAGAATGAATAATAGATCATTCGAACGCACGAATGAATTAAAAAGTTAATGGAAAATGCATATGAGAAAAAAAATTGAAAATAATGATTTATGGCAACTGGTTAAGGATGATTAGAAAGAAAAAGTGATTAAACGTAAAAAGTGCTTGAAATTCATGGAATATTATGTTTCAAACTTGACTATTTTTACGGAATACCTAAATTTTACTATTTTTACGGGAATTCTAGTAAAAATTACAATATTTGTCTCAATCTTTTACATAAAATACTGTAATTTTCGCCCGGCTGATTGCATTTTCTACTATTTTTTTTATTGGTCAGACGATTTAGTTTGTTATTAAATTATTGTAAATTTCGTTAAATTCGTGCAATGGTTTTGTGTATTTGTCCCCATTCATTAAATTTCGATTTTTGACCCAGAGTTCTGGAACTGAAATTCCAGTAAAACTATAACGCGATGAAAATTATAAAGGAAGTGTGCCTCATCATATCACGGAAGGTTAAATTTCAATAGAAATGTCTCTGAATAAATTAAGAAATGCAGAACCAAAAAACCAACGAAGCGATTACGCAAGACAGTAATGAACTTCCCAACGCCACCACCGAATTGGATGCACCCCAAAAAATTAATGGCAAAGCCCATCAAAAACAGATCCCCAAAAATTCATAATGAAAAAGCCCTGAAAAAAATCATTACGGATGGGTCATCACTGGAGAAGCGACGGTTCCCAAATTTACATTTTAGGACGAACGAAAAAGTATGGCCGTGGGGCAAACGATGTCCTCTCGTCGTACCATCCAAACATACATATGTAGAATACTGCTGGCAACAGTGTGGAATGGTGAAATACAAGCCACCTCAAAAGAGGTGGATTATGTATCGGTCGTCATATATATTATACATAAAAAAAGGTAGTGGTGGGATGCCAAGTAAGACAAAGACAGAAAAGTGGTAGGGAATATCGCCTCGGAGTTGTCGTTGCCGGGGGCATCGCAAAAACGTTGAAGCGTTTCAACTCGTCTCTTATACCTGGACCTACTACGGTTGGTTTCGCCCTGCGGGTCGAGCCCGTTGTTGCGGTCTTCGTGGTTACTCTCCCCTCCATGCCTCTCTCGCTTTATTCACCTCTTGTGCCACCCCCGACGGGTTTTCGCTGCATTTTGCGCTTTACAGTTGTCCATTGGGATAATAAGGACTTAAATAAATTGAAAGTCATTTTGTTGTTTTGAGGGAGGCGGAGAGTTGGGAGGCTATAAGTTAGGCGGAGGTCTGAACAATGAGCGGAATTATTGAAATTTAAACTAAATTTATTGGTTGAAATTTGAGATTAAAATCTGGTTTTCCGTCGGACTTCCTCAAAATTCGGCAAATCGTCGTTAACAAAATCCAGCAAAATTTCATATGAATCAATTATCAATTTTAATTAGTCCTCAAACGTGCAATTTTCTACTACTTAACAGTAATTAAAATACCTCCCCCTCCTTGCCATCTCAATTTTTCCAATCAAAATAACATTCTAAACTTTCCATAACTACTAAATTAAAGTCAGTGATTGGTCCGGCCAAACAAATAAATTATGAAATAAAATGAAAGTAGAGCCGCTTATTCCATTTCCGTTCCATGTTTTGAGTATTCTCCAAATCTTTAGTAAAAAATCCAGCAAAATTCATATCGAAATCATATGAATCAATCATCAATTTTAACTATTCCTCAAACGTTCAATTTTCTACTACTTAACAGTAATTAAAATACCTCCCCCTTCTTGCCATCTCAATTTTTCCAATCAAAATAACATTCTAAACTTTCCATAACTACTAAATTAAAGTAATAATTAAAGAAATAAAGTAATTAAAGAAATAAAATAAAAACAGAATCACTTATTCCATTTCCCTTCCATTTTTTGAGTATTCTCCAAATCTTTAGTAAAAATCCGACAAAATTTCATATGAATCGATCATCAAACGTCAGTAATTAAAATACCTCCCCATAATTGCAATCCCAATTTTTCCAATCAAAATAACATTCTAAACTTTCCATAACTACTAAATTAAAGTCAGTGATTGGCCTAGCCAAACAAATAAATCATGAAATAAAATAAATCCCCATCGATGCAAAACACAAACGCCTCTAAAGTCTCTCGGTCATAGTTTCCGTCTGCGTGGTTAAGTAGGTGAGTAAGTGGAGTTGTACTAGGCGAGGATGAAATGGAGCAAGACATGCATTGGCGCGTGTCGGGAGTGCCTCCGTGCGTCTCATGTTGACTGAGTCAAAAAGAAAAGGGGAAAAATGATAAATGAATGGGAAAAAAAATATAACGGGGAGGAGGGATAGACGTATCTCGCTGCGAGTGGGACCGCTCGTCTCGTTACTTTGGCGTATATTTCTCGAGGCCTTAGCTGTTCCGTATTATACAGAACAGCGAAAGACATCGTGAGTGCTTACACGACGTACACTGGGGCCCAATGAGATTTACCGCCGCTTTCCGTTCTTGTACAACATGCAGGCCTCACTGTACCCTCGCAGCATGTGGATGCTGAGTCTGCGCCACACTGCTTGCATAGGTCACGCGTTACGAATTTCACTGCGGAATGCCGGGGATTTGCTTAATGATATATACCTCGGGATATTGAAACAAGAGACCGAGTGAATGGTATTTTCCTCTCTAGTCGATATCACTTGTGCACTGATGGAAATTTTTTGGGGTTTAACGAACAGATGGAGCTGAATTTTCAGTGGATGGATTTTCACTCAACAATGGTTGGGAATTACGTCGGAAAATTACAAATATTTGCCATTTGTAACTATGACAGAGTTAATGAATTCTCAATCTATTGGAAGTTTAATTCGGCGTAATTTCAATTTTCAGAATGAGTTTTAAAACTGAAGCTTTTATTGAAATATCAATAATCGCTGGGCATGAAAAGCTCTATTTCATTGGATTTTCAGTGGTATTTCTCTCTAAATGATATCACTTGGGCACTGGTGGAAATTTTTTTGGGGTTTAACGAACAGATGGAGCTGAATTTTCAGTGGATGGATTTTCACTCAACAATGGTTGGGAATTACGTCGGAAAATTACAAATATTTGCCATTTGTAACTATGACAGAGTTAATGAATTTTCAATCTATTGGAAGTTTAATTCGGCGTAATTTCAATTTTCAGAATGAGTTTTAAAACTGAAGCTTTTATTGAAATATCAATAATCGCTG